TTTTGCCTTTAAACCTGAGGGACTGCCTAGAACCCCCNCCTTAATTAAAGTCCTACTTTTTTATTATATGTCGCCTTAGTATTTTACTTTTAAACTTGAGCGTCTGCCTAAAACGATGTTTTATAGGATAGGAGTCCTAAATTCCTCTGGGACTGATAAGAAAGGATGGGTAACAGCATGCAATAGTGGTCGAGAACAAACCTCACCTTAATTACCTTCACGGGCGGGAAAGGGTAGATATGGATATGATGACCAGTGCACTAATACCACGTGTAACCCCTCTTTTGAGGAGTGTTATACCGGGTATTGCATTGATGTGATCCATATTACAAACAAACCTAGGACAACCCCTTTACATTCATAAGCATGCTTTCGATTGTAACTCTTTTCCAAATTTCTCCTTTCACTAATTGTTTTCTTACATTTGTGTATCTAAACTTAAATCCCCTATTATTTGAGCCATACTTGTTTATTTGCTAATTGTACAAATTCACAAAAAAATTATCTGGCCGGGAACCACACTAGTGGATCCTGAGGGGTGCCTAACACCTTCCCCTTGAGATAATTTCAAGCCCTTATCCTGTCTCTGGTTATCAAACATAGTTAGAAAAGAACCTTGTAGGTGCCCTAACACACCTTAAAATCATTAGGTGGCGACTTTTTAAAATTGCAAAGCCCCTTTCCCAAAAGAAAAGAGTTGTCCCATACCAAAATATCACAAACCCGATTTCCGCGAAGGGAAAAGGGGGCGCGACATTAGTTCCTGTTGTTGTTGTATTGATAGGCATTCTCCTGCTTTGATGAATCTGGTATTAGGACATGGCTTTATTCCAGTAGCTTTTCCCATAAGTTGTTTGAAAAAGCATGTGAATTCTTTTTCTACAGCTTTAGGGTCAGTGATCTTAACTCCCAAACCATTATACATTGTAGTAATTGTGTTCTTGCTTGCTCTAATCTTCAGCTGTGAATAGAAATATTTGGAGTTTGAATCCCCATAATCAATCCAGGTTACCTTAGCCTTCTGCCTTAGTATTCTCTCCTCTATGATACTCCATTTTTCTATTTCCTGCAGAGTCTATTTTTTCTGTTCTATCAACACTTGATTGGAAGGATCAAGTATCAAATTGGCCTGAGTATACTCCAGTTTCTGTCTTATTTGAGTCAATTTTTGCTCATACCTAGCCATCTCCTTATTTAGACCTCTAGCCTCAGCTTTTAGCTTTTGTAATTTCTGCCAGATACCAGTCATAGGATCATTTCCCAGCTTCTACTTCCAATTTATATCTACCATAGGCTTAAACTCCTTGTGCTCCATTGTTACCATGTACAGTTTGAATGGCTTGGGATATATAGTACTCCTTTTCCATATTTGGACCAAGATAGGTGAGTGATCTGACACTCCAGGTTCTAAAAATTCAGCTTCCACATGCCCATAATCTTTAGTCCATTCAAAATTGCCAAAAGCCCAATCAATCTTACTGTAAACTCTATCATTTGCACTTTGCTTATTACACCAAATAAAGAAATAACTCTTTGTCCTTAATGGGGTCAGTTGCATGTTATCAATACACTTCTTGAACTCCTAAACCTCATTCATAGTAACTGGTTGTCCTAATCTATCATCTGTGGTTAAGACATTGTTGAAATCACCACTTATGAGCCAGGGAATTTGAACCTTCCCCCCTATCTGTTGCAAATCATACCATAGACTTGCCCTATCCTGCAACTTGTTCCTAGCATACACTACAGTCAATATAATCTAATAACCAGTCACTGGATCATTCACTAGACAATGAATGAACTGCTCATGAATTTGAATTATGTTAACTATCAAAGTGGTCTTCCATAACACCCATATTCTCCCATTTTCAGCCTTTGAATAGTTACAGCAATAACCCTAATCCTTTGCTACCTTATACAGGATATTTGTTGCCTTCTTTTCTTTTACTCTGGTCTTTAGACATCCTAAGATATCTATTTTATTCTTTTGCAGAAAGATTCTCAGTTCCTTCTGCTTATAGGGCTTCTTCAGCCCTCTTATGTTTCAAGTACTTATAATCATGGTGGTTTTTGTATAGGATCAGAGTTCATCACCCCTCCCTGTACAGAAATTGCCCACACTCTTCCAGTATTGTGAATCTATTAGAAGTGCTAGCCTCACCATTTATAGCCTGCTGAACAACTGGAGTATTCTGCCTTTCACTACCTTTCTTCCTTTGTATCATCATACTCATTTGGCCTGATTCATCTGTTGTGTTCTGCTTTCCTTTGTCAATTTTTATTGGAGGTTGTACTTCAATCACCTCTCCAATCCCATCTTCTTGTTCTTGTTGATCTTTTGGCTTCCATTCCTAAATAACTTTCCTCCTTCTGCCTTTATTTCTTCTTTTAAGGCCTTGAATTCAGTATCTTCATGATGTTTGGTTGACTTCCACCACTCAAAGATATCATGACCAAAATGTAAGCATTCACTATAGAATTTTGGCCTCCATTCATACAATATTTCCTGATGTCGAGTACCAGTGGGAGTTACAATCTCAACATTCTCCATTAATGGCTTTGTAATGCCAACTTTCACAAGCACTCTAGCATAGGAGATTTTGTTAAGTTCTACTGTAAATTTATCTATGTACATTGGTAAACCTACAGCACTAGCCACCTTACTTAATGCATCAACAGTCTAATACCCAACTAACAGACTAAGAAAATGAATCCACAAAGGAATAGTAGTGATATATTTAGGGTCAAAGTGGAAATCTCTTTCCCTGTTTTGTAAAATAAATGGCTTGTTATGATATGAGTATGGCCCTGTTTGCACGACTGTATCTCTTTCCTCCACTGTTGTGAATCGAAACACATAATATCCATCTTGGTGATACAACATTTGGGGTTTAGTGACAAAATCTCACACTGATTCTACATAGTTCTTCATAGATTTCTCATACAGAGTATCACCAAGTACATGCCCAATTAGAGCAGTCGCCCAGTATTCATTTAGCTCACTTACATCTTCTTCCTCTATTTGAATGGCAACTTTACCGTCTCTATAACTTGGTGGAACATACTCCAACATCATCCCCATCTGAGAGTTAAGATTCTACTGTCTAAGATTCTTTGCATGCACGACCTTCTCCTTCCCTACCTCTGTTGTTGCTATGAGATCTGGATCTGGAGATGGCTTTGAAGATCCAGCTTCAGAAAATTGCAATCGTTTTGGACTGGTTGGCAATTGATCTTTACATTTCTGAGCTTCCTTCTTTATAACAACATTTGTATTGTTCCATTGATTTTTGTTCCCTTTCTCGTCCACACTTAGCTTCTTTTCCTCTTGAATTTATTGGAATCTAGTTGGTAGAAAACTTTCAAAAGTTAATGAAGTGAGAGTCTGCATCGCTGAGTTCACCGGTGTTATAGCAGCAGTCATCGGAGCTACTTGTTTGCGTCTCCTTGCCATCGATGGTGCACGTTAGCCTTCCTTGGCTTATCGTGCGCCGAGAGTATTTAGGCGTTCAACATTCTAAAGACATTTTCCCCAATAGAGACACCCTTGATAGGACCAGAGTCGCTCCAAGATGCTTTAGAGAAAGTGAGAATTATTCAAAAGTCTTATGCAAATAAGAAACATAGGGATACAGAGTTTAAAGAAGGAGACTATATGTTTTTAAAAGTGTTGCCCATGAAAGGAGTTATGAGATTTAGGAACAAAGAGAAGTTGAGTCCTAGATTTGTTGGCCCCTATAAAATCTTGAGCAAGATGGGTAATGTGGATTATGAGCTGGACTTGCCGGCAGAATTAACAGTTGTTCATCAGTATTTCATGTATCGATGTTAAGGCGGTTCCTTCGCCGACAAAGCTCAAGTTATTTCCGTGAATGAAGTGGAGGTCAGTAAGAGCTTGACTTATAAGAAAGTGCCCATCAAAATTCTTCACGGACGGGTTAGGAGATTGAGGAACAAAGATGTGTCATCAGTTAAAGTTTTTTGGCGTAATTATGACTCGGAAGAAGCTATTTGGGAAGCCGAAGAAGACATAAAGAAAAGATACTGTTATTTATTCAAAGATAGAGATATGTAAACTTTAGAGTATTTAAAGGTTTTCATAGTAGTAAGAGTGCAATTTTTATCATAAACATGCTTATTTGAACGAATGCCATATAAGGGGTGATAAATGTAAAGCCCCAAAGATTTTTGCAATAAAAATAATAGTGTTCTTGTACAAGCTTTAAGTTGGACACAAGGATGTTCAAATTTTAAAAAAGGTGTATAACAACTATATTTTACGTTTAAGAGGTAGTATGGACTTTTATAAGAGGGAAAAAGTAGTTTGGAACAAAATATATCCAAGGTAAGAACACAACTATAGCCGCAAGATACCTGACTTCAAAGAAGTATATATCCCAATCTATAAACAGTGGCTAAAAACTAAAAGCATTTTAAACAGTGGCTTAAAAGTAAATATATGTGTTATTAGTGGCTAATCGTACACTTCCCCCCTACTTTGTGTTTGTTTTTTATTATATATATAAAAACTAGCCTAGGCACCTCGCCTTAAAAAAATTGCTTACAATCAATCTTCACTACAAAAAAACGGGTATATTGCGGAGGTTAAAATTGCAGTTTGTGGAGGTTAGTAACCTCCGCTAATTGCTGTCACGGCGGTTAAGCAGTCCCTCGCAGTAAGCATCGCCACTATTAATTTGCGGCAGATAAATGCGGGGGTTTCCTAAACCGCCGTGACAGCAAATAGCGGAGGTTACTAACCTCCGCAAACTGCAATTTTAACCTCCGAAATTTAATGCGCGAAAGTAGATTTGTATTTTTAAATTTTAATTTTTTTTTTTGAGCGTGGGGGTTGTAAACCCCCGCAATTTCTTATGTGTACACCATAGGAGCTGCTCAATTTCTCTTTGGGGGTTTTAATTATCCCCATCTACTTTTAAATATATATATCATACCCTTTCCCTAATATCAATTAAAATATTTATGCTTAAACCAAAACATTAAAATAAAGAAATATCAACATTTCATTAACCGTGAAAAATACCATGACAGAGTAGTATCATATGTCATCAAGCTAAATTAGAACATAGTTACCCGTCTATATTAGTCAGCTATTACATTATCCTAATACATCCACTTCAATTAAAATGAATCTCAATGGTTGTCACTGGGATTATTATCGCATCTTCTTGCATCTGTCGGTGAAACGGGTCCACTAGCTGCATTACTTGGGTGCAGCAAAAAGTTAAAAAAAATACAAGTATTAAGAGGATTTTCAGAAAACAAGTCATAACTGGTTGGCAAGAATTTTTTTGAGCTCTTAAAATACTCATTATAACATTGATAATAGAAAGAGTAAATAGTTTTCTTGGTTTCTTACTGAAAAGATTGAAAAAATACAAAGAATTTGAAACCCCAAATGCCTATGAAGGTGAAAGCTTGGAAAGGGGAATGTGAAATTAGAGATTATGGAATGAACATATTGCAAACTGGGACTATACAACTAGTGTCTGGATTAGTGAGCTACTTGGTTTCTGGTATATTCCTATTTTCCATTCATCCTAGTTTCCTGCACCTACGACTATTCAACTAGCAAATTCTCTACTTTACAACTGTCCATTGCAGATGAAAACAATGTGTGTGTGCATGTGAATGTGTTCGGATAAAACACGAGACAAAATAAAATTGCACAATACACCAAAAATAAAAGAACTTAGCATTTACCGTTGTAGGAATAGAAGCAAAGATCCTAGCAAATTGTTCTGGTATTGACCCTTCCTTCATTATCATGTATGCTTTGAGAGTATTCATCAATTGATTGTACTTCTCTTGGCATCCAGAAGAAGAACATCCAACATTATTACTCACAATTCTAATATTACCAGGACGAAGATTTGTCTCTCTGAAAGTATTGCTTGGAGTAGCTCCTAATCCCAAATATCTCACCCTTCCAGGATGCTCTTTGTCTAGCACCTTACCAACAGCATCATTTGGAGAAATTTCAGACTCATCCACTGTACTTTCACTCAATGCTAGCTCAATTTTGTCCTAAACACAATATATATATGTACAGTGGATGAGTCTATTAACTAGAATTAAGAATTGCATGTAAACATTAAGAATTGCATGTAAACATTAATCCAAACCAATGCAAATAACATGTACTAAACCGACTGGAGGAAAAATGTAATAGATGTGGAGTGCCAAAAACTCATGGATGGTGTGACTAACTCAAGTAAATAGATTCAAGACAACTTATCCAATAACAAGTTTTAAGTCACGTTAATCTTTCAAGGTAAAAAAAAAAAAGGCAAACACAAAAGAACAGCAATGTCTTAAGAGCCAAAAAGACTGAGGTAAACCAAAATTGACTTATCTACACTAGATGGGACTTGAGACAATGGTTAATCATGGTTGCATTCTTGAGAAAAATCGTGAGGATGCATTCCAGGTTGGATCAACAAAACTCATTATGAGATTGAATAAATAGAAGGGAAAAAAATGTGACTACATATAAACCATGCATGACCAGTTTTTAAGAAGTTAAACAATGTTATCCGAAACAAAAAGAAAAAGGAGGGGGCAATGTATCCCTCAGCCTCATATGACTTAAGGAATTGACAAAAGCAGATTTTGAGGGAGCTAATATTTCTGCAAGGTGATCAAGCCAAGCCAAAACAAGGATATGAGGTTGAGGGAGCTCCAACTGATGCAGTTGGAGACAAGTGAAAGAATTTAAAAATGCGCTAATTCTCACTACTAGAATTCGGCCAAAAAGCGACCAAATATTGGCGACCAAATTTGGTCTGTTAAGAAAAGCGACCAAAGATGGTCGCCAAACTACCGAAAATAATAAAAAAAATATTTGAAATAATTTAGCGACCATAGTTGGTCGCTATTTGGACGCAAATTTAGTCAAACTGTTGACTGGACTGGTCAGACTTACTTGGTCAAAGATACACTGAGTTTAGCAAGCAATGTTGGTCGCAAAAGTGGGACCCACACAATTTTTTTTAATAATTTTATTATTATTTTATAAAACTTATAAAATATAAATATATATAATTTAAACTTGCGACCAAAGTTGGTCGCTAACTGAAGGATAAGAAGATAGCGACCCACTTTGGTCGCTAAAGTGAGACCTAGTTATAATATTTTAATAAATATATATTTATGTAAAAAATTTATAAAATATAAATAAATATAATTCAAAATTTAGCGACCAAAGTTGGTCGCAAACTGAAGGATAAGAAGATAGCGACCCACTTTGGTCGCTAAAGTGAGACCTAGTTATAATATTTTAATAAATATATATTTATGTAAAAAATTTATAAAATATAAATAAATCTGATTGAATTTTAGTGACCAAATTTGGTCTCTAATTTAAATTCATGTACATTTAGTGACCAACTTTGGTCGCTAAATTAAATTCATTTAATGTTAACGACCAAAGTTGGTCTCTATATGGTCAAATTTAAAAATCACTTTTGTGTTTACTATGTAAATAATATAAATGTAAGTCGTTAATAATTTTGTAATACAAGGGATGAATAGTACTACGAAGCCGGCGTGTGTGTCTATATATACAATATATGTACTTACGCTATAATATGCACTAAGTATAAGTGTATGAGGTAATACCGTATCGAA